CGGCCAAAGGTGAGGGCCGGCAAGGTTGACCTTACCAGCCACTAGCGTGGGCGAGCCTCACCCAACCATGGCAAGGCTTGCCCTCACTCACCGAGGTCTGACAACCGGCTAGAGAAAGAAGAGAAGAAGATAAAGAAAGAGAAAGAAAAGAAAAAAAATCAAATATTAAGGCAATAATCTGAGACTTATAATGGGTTGGGTTCCCTTTCCTGGTAAGGTAGCTTTTTGGGATGAGTTCTTTCACCCCTTATAACGCATCAACATGGTGTCAGAGTCACTCCTTAAATGCTCACCTTTTGGCACTTTATCATCGAGGCTACGGTGCCTCGGTGGTGGCCCGAAGCTGCATCCTCAGGGCCGTTCTGCAAGGTCGCGGAATCCTAAAGAGGGGGAAGGGAAGGATGATGAGGGCAAAAGTCCCACATAGAGTAACTAAAGAGATATTATGGAGCTTATAATGAGTTGAATTCCCTTACCATCATTAGAAGAAAAATCCTATCACTTCACTTTTTCCTCTCACCTCGTTTTGGTGCACCATGCACATACATTGCATTGCGTACACCACAAAAACGAGTATGAATGCTCGCGTGTTTGGGGTCCTTCCTCCAAGATATAGTATGTCAAATGCTAGTATGTTATAATCTCTTCAAGATATAGTACGTTAAACGCTAGGAATACTTACAACAACAAATGATCAACTAAAAGTTACCAAATGTTTAAATTTACAGTTACGAAGTCAAAACAAGAATCCCAATTGAATTTCAAAGTAAACCGCCATACACACTAAAACTATTGGTGCACCATATACTGTTATAAAACCAATTCCTTTAGCTAACTTAAAGAATACCCTTTTTTTTAAGGGGAAAAAAAAGAAGAAGAACAAGAATCTACAACTACCACCGTCCCACGTGTGATTTTCCAGTCTCGAGCCGCTCCGCTCCTCAGGATTTGTTGATTAAGAAGGAAATATAAATTACGAAATAATTTGTTTGAAATAGGAAACGCCCACCCACATATATTTCTAGTGGTAAAAAGGTAAGTCTGCGGTCAATGAGATAAGGCGAATAATGGCTAAGCATTACCTAATTTAGGCACATCTTGTCCACCACTTTTTCCCTCGGTATGATTCCCATTCTCGAAAGCCTCCACCAAAATCAAAAGTGGAATGACTTTGGTTATACAGCCGACGTTATATGTGTAAACATGATACACGAGAGTAATATGGGCCCAACTGGTCTCCACCTATATCTCGTTAGAATACTTAAATATTGAGCTACGTTGTTATCTAATGGCTTAAATTTTTAAAAGAGCTGGTAATGATCCCGCAAAATTTTACATAATATCAAAATAGGTAGTCTTAGGCTAGAGTTCTTTCTATGGATGAGGTGTGGAGTGTTAGAATATCTACGACACTCGCTCAGTTGAGGCCAACCCTCGCCCTTGGCACAAGCCTTGGAAGAAAAAGAAAAAAAAATTCAAAAAAATTATTTTAAAAAAAAGTTTGATGATTAAATTGGTCTAATTGAAAGGTTGATGACTGAATTGGCATCAACGCAATAGGTTTATGACTTTTTTGTTGCTTTTTCCTCATATAACAGTTTAAGTTTTTAGAATAGTAGGCAATAGTTTCGTGAAATTGCCCGTATCTTGGATAACAAGCGTACATATACATTGTAGAATGCAATTGAGAAATTATCTCCATCGAGAAACTATAAAGAATTAGTTGAGATCATCGAGACTAGCTATTTTTATCCAAACTTGTTATTAGATTTCATATTCGATTCCGATTAGGGTGAGATACTCTATGTTATTGCAAACAATGAGGTCATTTGTCATGAAATGTTGTATCCAACGTTGAATGGTTGGTATACCATTACTTGGACTGGTGTGCAACACAAATGAGAGATGTAACTTGTATCATAATGGATTGTTAGAGTCCGGTGAAGCTACTCTACTCTGCAAGCCAAAATCAAGTGAACCGATGCGAAGTAATATGATATATAGTCTAACTTTACCCAGTCTTTTCTCGCCTATAATAAAAACCTATCCATTAGCATATGTCTTATGATGCTATTACAAAGGAATAATAAACCCCTTTCTTTTCTTGTTCCATGGGGTGCTTTGCTTGTGAGTGGTGATGCTGCTTCGATCCAACGATCGCATGCCAAGTTTCAATGCGCGCATGCTTTCTTCTTCACCCCACTTGGTGGCAGGTGTGGGGGCCTCCCTTACATCCCGATGCGGGCAAAAGTCTCACATTGGACAACTAAGGAGATACTCCGAAGCTTATAATGGGTTGAGTTCCCTCTTCTAGCAAACTAACTTTTTGGGATGAGTTCTTCCATCTCTTATAACGCATTAACATGGTATCAAAACCACTCTCTAAATGCTTGCCTTCTAACACTTTATCCTCGGGGCTTTGGTCCCTCGGAGGTGGCTCGAAGCTGCGTCCTCAGGCCGTTCTGACAGGTTACGGAATCGTGAAGAGGGGGAGGGGAAGGAAGATGCGGACAAAAATCCCACATAACAGTAACTAAAGAGAAATTATGGGGCTTACAATGAGTTGGATTCCCTTATCATCAATAGAAGAAGAATCCTCCCACGTCACTTTTTCCCCTCACCTCGTTATGCTGCACCATGCACATACATTGCCATCGTACGTCCTTTTTTCAAAAGACGTCACTTCACTTTAAGTCACTTTCGTTTAAATCTTCAGCACCTAACATATGGAGAATGAGGCGAACCTTGGCATGTGTCCCACGGTGCCTAATCAATCATCATCTTCAATACACAAGTAGATTTTGATGCACTAAGGTGCTGAAAGACAAATGGAAACAATTAGCCGCTAATTGACAAATCAGGAAGCGCCCCTTGTTTATTTGTCAGCCATAACTAGGGATGGGCGTGGAGTGGGGCCGGAGCGCGGAGTGGGGCGGGAGTGGAGATCACGACCCCGGTCCCCACCTCGCTGCAAGGGAATATGCCCCTTCACCCCTCCCGACCGAGCCCCGGCGAGGTATCTTGCATGGGGCAACAATGCCCTGCGGAGCTTTGTCCCGCTATAGGCAAAAAATTCTGATGATGTCTTTTCTTTGTGAGAAATTGATGAATGTGTCCCTATTTTGTTTGGCATATGATTTAGCAATAAATAACAAAAAAAAAAAGACTTGCGAACGTCTAAATATAACATCAACCACTCATTACATAAAAATAACAAAAGATTGTTTCATCCTCTCTTTCAATTAGTAATAATATAGATAGAGATAAGTATAGTAGAGAATAGAGATATTTGATTTTAGTCATTGGGCATTTTATTGTAGTTTTAACTGGATAATTTTTTTGTCAATAAAGATGAGCACCCGAAGGCATTCCGTCCGTACTAATATTAAGGCAAAACTAGAGGGTTTGATCTCTCTTTCCAATAATATTTTCACTCATAGTAAAAATTTAGGTCGGCCCCCCTTTTTTTACCTCTGCGTGAAGAACATCAGCAAGATTAGTTGGTGTTTGGTAACAAGGTTTTGATGTGTCTTTTCTTTAATTATTGTCGTGCCCATAATTAGACTAAAGTAATCCAGATAAATTCGAGTGATGGGGATTGATTCGCGTCATTACTGCCCTGGATTTAATTAGGATTACGACCTGAAAGCTAGGGTTTTAGTACTTGTTGCCCCAGGTACCTGAACATGATAAACAATTAGCAGGTGCTGTTTTCCAATCGTGGCATTGCGTTGCATAGATGCCAAAGTTTATGCCTCGCGCCTTCGAGAAACGGTACAAGATAGAGAAGACCATGTCAATGATTTTAATTGCGGAATGTACGTGCTGCTTATCACTCAACTATTGACAAGGTCAATTAGCATATACCCTTTCTTTTTGTCGTTACTCCTCGCTAGGAAACGGGCAACAATTGCTTAGATTCGCGTACCCAAGAAACCCACGGTCGCATGGAAAAACATAGTACCTTATTGATTATTTTTCTTAATGATTATTTTCGAGGCGCTTGGTAAACATCTACATGTGTTTTTCGTGTTTGCCCTAGACGAAATTTTATCAAGTATAATTAACATATGTTTCGAGACATTTGCTTGTAAGACCATTTTCGTCTTAAATTGAAGGGTTATTACTACGATCCCAAACTGATATACTCGTAATAAATTTATTCCAAATTAATTTTTTGACCACCAAAAACTCCAAACTGATATACTTGTAATAAATTTACCCTCCATTATAGTTAATTAATACAAAAAAAAATTATAAACTAGTACACCTGAGACAAATGAAGGGATAAAACTCCAAACCGGTACATTTGTCAACTGTCATGTGTCATTTAACTAAACAATTTGACAGAGAGTAAATTTATTCCATATGTACCAGTTTTGAATTTTTAGTTGTCAAGAAATTAATTTGAAGTAAATTTATCACAAATAAATCAGTTTGAGATTTTTCATGGTAACAACCGTAAATTGAACATGATTACATGTCATCAGAATAGTACGAATACTTTGGCTGTATATAACAAATATTTGAAGGTCAATTGTTGGCAAAATCATACACTTACATGATTTTTTTAATTTTTTTACTAATTATATAAGAATCCTCGATGAGAACCCACAAATGCCAAAGTAATTTTTACATCATAAGTAATTCTGTTCATCGACGATGAAAAAAGTAGAGAAAACAAGTTCACACGAAAAGCTGTCCTAGGTTCGGGTTTTCTTCTTTCGGGGGCTCAACTCAATTAATGTAATAATAGCTCTCCGGTAGCTTTCTCACCTACCGACAATTCCCATGGGTCGTCACCACTTTTGTCGTTTTCCCGGAAAATCTACATCTGCCCCTCCTCATCCTCCATCCTCCTCCTCCTCCTCCTCCTCCTCCCTTCTTTCTTATTCTGCAAGTCTTGATCCATCCCTCATTAAAATCTCTTCTCTTTTGCAGAGATCGGCATTTGGCAGGAGGAAAAAAGAAGATAACAGAGGGCAGAGAGGAGAAAGAGAGAACCAAAAATGCATCCACTACGATCAAAAAGGCGTGAGAGACGAAGTTTACATGCAGAGAGGAGAGTCGTCTTCCCTTCAAAAAGTAACAGGAACAGGAAACATAACACCCACCCAACACCAGATTGATCCATGAACGAACGAAAGAAAGAACTAATGGGGGAAAATGAAGCTGGAGCCGATGTGAGAGAGACAGAGAGAGAAAACGGGTTTGTGTTTCTGGCTCTCCGACACGGCCTAGCCGTATCAAAAATTTCCCCCGATGACAATATATGTTTCCGAGCATATAATATATAGCTAGTGACAACAATATTTCAGTGGAAATAAACAATGGCGGAACGACCCTCCCTCCCTATCTCTCTCTAGTCTTCGAAGCCAACTTTCTCCCAAATGGCGTTCCGGACGCGACGGAGATCTCTCCCTTTCAGCGTCCTCCCAACGCCTTCGTGGACGGAGAGCGACGCGCCTCTCCTCCTCGCCAGGAACTCGTGCGGCGGGACTATGTCCCCGTCGTCCTCTTCGTCGCCGTCGTCGCTGCCGCCGTCCTCGGCGGTCACCCTCCCCCGGTGGTGCTCTCGGTAGTCCCCCAGCAGAATCTTCGACCAGTCCGGTATGTTCACGGGCAACGACGCCGCCCCCGGCGGCGAAGGGGCCTCCGCCGCGGACGACCGCCTCTGCAGCTTCTTCAGGGATCGAGGCTGACGTATTCTCGGGTCGGAGGACGCGTCGTCGTTGGAGGACCAGAGGAGATCGGACTCGTCGAACTCGAAGACGGGATCGTCGGGAGCATTAGGGCGGTAGTGGTGGTGGAGGTGGTGGTGGGAGCCGGTAGGGTTCTTGTGCGTGGGCGTCGCTCGGGAGATCATTCTCGAGGCGGCCATTGCTGAAGGGCTTGAAGTGTGAACGAGGAAAGAGAATGGGAGAAGGAGGTGGAGGGTGAGAAGTTTTCCTCTGTCTAGCATTTTTATAGTTGTGTCGTGTGGAGTGATCTCTGATGAAGTATAATCTCTCTTGCTCTCTCTCTCTCTCTCTCTCTCTCTCTCCTGGTTTGGACCCACGAAGAAGTCTCTGAAAGCTAATAAATAATGACTTGGAGACGACGACCTCATAAGGTCTTCAACGGGAGCTACCACATGGGATTGGCACAACTCTCCGCTCTGCAAGCAAAAATGCCAATAATGATATCTTGATCGCTTCATTATCTCGTCTTTCTTAAATCCAAAGAAAGAAACTGCATAACAAAGGAAGCATTCCCACCATGTTAGGGTTTGAAAAATGGGAAATATTAAGACTCTTTGCCCTTTGCATGTGCAAATCTTTACCATAACACCGACTAATCATTTTTCACCTTGCGCGCAGCACATTCGAAGTTAGAATCACATATGTAGCGTGCATTATCAATTAAGAAATCGTTCATGTTATCTTATCAAATCAGTATATTCCCATTGCTCGGTTGACTTCTATCCGTATTAAGGCATCACAAACATGCTCGGTAAAGCAATTAAAATCCCGTTGCATATTTAGGGATTAAGTGTGATTATCAACAAATTATGCTAAAAGACAATGCCTACCGAATTCCCAAATTGTGTTTGCCAACGAGATGATGCCCTGATAAGTCGAGCTGCGTCAGGCTCCAATACCATTATGCCAAAAATTAAAGTGCATATATATATAGAGAGAGAGATATATATATATATATATATATGTATATATCCTATGTTTGATTATTGAGATCAACCTAGATTGTATGCAATGAAACCGCTTACAGGTGGGCACGGGGGGAGGCCGCGAGAGGACAGAGCAATTAACGGAAAATCCGATAGAAGATAAACGAGGAGCAATAAAATAATTTGGAAAAAGAGGAGCTCGCGCAATGTGAAAACTCGAGAAAGAGAAGGAAAAAAACCAAACCCAAAAACAAAAGAGACCCACCACCACCCCCACCCCCACCCCCACCGCCACCGCTCGTGTCGAAGCGCCCTTTTCGTCGAATCGCCGAGGAATGACACGACGGACCACATTAAAATAAATGGCGCGGCCTGGGTACTCGCACACGAGGCGACACGTAGGACAGGGCCAATGAGAATCGAAGATCCCATCTAATTTTCTCCCTCCCAATGAGAGAAACGGTGGGTGAGGTGAGGACGGTAATTAGAGACCTCGGGGGTAATGGATAGGCGACGACGACTTTATCCGCTGCCCCCGGGAGTCGTGCGCGCGCGCGGGGGTGGGGCCCACGCCCCTCGGCGGGATTTTTCCCTGGCGCGTAGCATCTTTTTAGGCCTCTGATGAGGGCTGGTAAGAAATTGATCGGAGGAGGATGTCCGTTTAGGACAAAACCAACGTTTCTCCGAAGCTTCGTGTTACGGGGGGGGCCCCGCCGGGGCGTACGTCACGGCCCCCCGTCTGGATGTGGATGTCCATGTTCGCGACACGTCACCGAGGGGTGGGGAGCTGGTTTCTTTCTCTCTTTTCTCTTTTGTCGCGACGCGGGGCGTTGTTATCCGAGGATCAATTAATTAATGAATTATCTTTTGGGGCTTGGCCGGGGCTGAGGACCGTCCCTAACCCCGTAATAATTTGACAGCGAAGGACATTAATTGACAGCAGTAAATTTTTTTTGAACGCCCCCAGTCGTGGCTGGCTTGCCTTCATTCTCTTTTTGCCTTTTTTTTTCACCTTTTTATCTTCTTGTCCTTTCATCGGCAACTTGAACTTCTGCCTTTACATCATGCGTGTTTGTTTTTTGCTAAAGCGAGGGTCAAAAGTAAATTTTAATTTTACCGTCAAAAGTTAGAATATTATTGGAAAAATTGCGCGCGAATTTACATCTCAGTGTTTATATATTTCATGAAAATATTTAGATTTTTCTGATTTAAAATAGCGACGACGTTAATCATTGTATTTTTTCAATTCGTTCGATGTTGCCTATTTATGTTTGTTTGGCCAATGGAATCCTTCTAAATTGTATATCTTGTTGTTCGAGTTAATCTTTTTGTTAAAAATGCGAATGAAGATGCTGATGCCGACTGTCATACCAGCACCACAACATTGCTAACCGAAAAACTAAGGTAGATGGATCTTTTTGTTTGATCGCGTATCAGGCAAAATTCAATTTTCAATCTCTTTTGAAGCAAATCCAAAATAAATGCAAATTATAGCTTAATTGAGAAGTTGTGATATCGAAAGGGCGTTGCGCTTTTGCTAATCCGTCCCTCAAGCTCAAGTGACCCAAACCCCAACCTCAGCCTCTGCTTAACGCACTTAAACCAGTTACCTTGCACATGTCACTTAAGTTGTTTATTTTCCCTATAGTTGCTTAGGCATTTTAGGTGTCCAATCGACATAGGTTAACTAAATTGATTGGGGCTGACTCCTGTGTGTTTTTTAGCTTATGTATTATTAGATGTGGTGGCAAGCTCCAACCTTGGACTTGGGAAAGTCCTAGGAACTGGGGACTCTACAAACTGGCAACCCTCAATTTTGCAAGATTTGAGGCGCTACAAGGCATGGGTCAAATTTCATAAAATATTTCTAACGAAATTATTCTTAACTAAGTATGTCTAACAAGTGACATGAAGACTCCCATTATTAGCTTGACCCCTTATCTTATATTGGATAAGTCAAGTGTTTAAAAACATATTAACACAGCATCAATGCATTGTTTGCAAAGGAGGGGAGGGGGCGGGGCAAATGAAAAGAAAGTGGAGAAAATTAGACAAATTTTAACTTTTTTGTGAAGAGAGAAGGGAGAGAAAATTATATTTTTTCCTGATTTATTTCATTTTCTTTCCTCGAAAATGAGGAGAAAAGCAAATGAAATGGTAGATTACTAGAAGGAAAAAGGTGGAGATGAACCATGATTTTCTCCTATGATGTTTGGATAGGGAAAAAATGTGAGGAGAAAGAAAAAAAAAAGATGGAAATTTTCAAATGTAATACAAACTGGCTATTGATACTCTTTATGCAATGACGGCATCATTACAAAAATGGGTGAGAAAATTATTCGGATGGTCATTTTTTGTTTTCGACTTTTCCTCTATATTTAGCACGATAACTTTTCTCTCCAGTTGCTTTTTCTAAGATTTCGCTCGAACCCAAGCCTTCCATTTTCTTCTTTCATGCACGATAGATTTTCTCTCCAATTGCTTTTTCTAAGATTTCGCTCGAACCCAATCCATCCCTTTTCTTCTTTCGTGCAAACGAGGGTGATTAATTTTCTTTCGAATATCGCTTCTAACACTTCTCTTTCCCATGTCTTTACCCCTAGGCCAAATAAAGATTTAAAGCCGTGTCAAATCTCTTTCCATATTTTCCGCGTTTTGACTGTAACTCCTAACCAAGTTTTGACCTCGACAAAGCTTATATTGTTCTTAAACCGAGGTACAACATTTGAATCCGACACGTCTGTTGTGCAGCCGGAAACTGCGTAAGACCACACGAATTCTTGCGTGATAAATTCCCGACTCAGACCCGCTTCGCCTCCGGAATGGAATCCAACAGACGAGAACCGTCAACAGGGAAGAGGCTGGAGTAAATAAATCGTGTAGAGATGGACAAGAAAATTCACGCCCGGAAGCGCGTCTTTTCATACCGTAGAAAATTAGGGTTTTATGATAACGATGAAGTAATTATCGATTCAACGTAATTAAAAATGCCTATCTAACTTAATCAAGGCACGTGATTAGCAATTGATACGATAGTTTAAGAGAAGAGATAGACACCGTTGTGAGGGAGCTTGGGCACATGCACATTGGATATGCGCATGGGAATTGATTAATCGAATGGAAGTGCAGCATTATTGGGCCATATCATCGGTAAATTAATGCATGAGATTATACTAAGCATTTCTTTCTCTCTAATCTTGTTTTCCCAAGGATAAGTACGTGAGCAATTTCTTTATTGTTATTTGCTGGTTTTGACCACGTGTTTATCAGTAATTATTTAGGCCTTTTGCCTTTTTGTTTTCTAGTTTTTTTTCCTCCTTCTTATGTCCCTTTTTATTTGCTTTGAAGTATAGTTTGGTTCAAGTATCAGGACCTAAGCAAGTCCTTAAAAGGCTTTGTATTGGTTCTTGTCCGAATTTCGAAATCACCAAGATGTAAAAACTTTCAAAGAATATTCTCTCTCACCAGAAAAGAAAAAGATGTGGTGAAAATTTGGGATGCATGGCATGCAAACACTAATATGTTAAAATAAATAATGCATCCGTAGTGCCTGCCCTACAAGATCGGGATAGGCCGCAAAGGCCCCCGCAGAAGTTTCGGCTCCCTCTCTTCTTTCCCTTTATCTTTTTTCCCAAGGATAAGAACGTTAGCAATTTCCTTATTGTTATTTCCTGCTTTCGACCACGAGTTTAGCATTAATTATTTAGGCCTTTTCCCTTTCTGATTTCTAGGCCTAATTCCTAAAAGAAGCATTAACTGGATTTTGAATGAAAATTCTGGACCGAACTATTTTTTATCTCATAAAAAATCACAAATTTTCACTTAATTTCCAAATTTGGCCTGAATAATTTGAAAATTTCACATTACGGGGGCCAGATTTGAGACTCGAGTAAAAGTTGATGCTTTTTATTGAGACAAACAAAAAAAGTTCAAGCAGAAATTGTCACTTAAGGTAAAGTTGATGCTTTTTTTTTTTTGAATTAGCCCATGTTTTCTAGTTTTTTTCCTTCTTTTTTTTTGTCCTTTTTTATTTGCCCTAAAGTAATAGTTTGGTTTAGTTCATCTTGGTTGCTGGTAAAAGTTTAAGGATGACTTGTAAAAATCTGATTTCCAAGTTGAATTGTAAGATTCAAAGTTGACATGTCCTATGCAAATACTGTTCTGCTGACGGAAAAAAGAGGATTGAAACATGCGACAGCACACAGGGCCAGGCAAGACAAGGAAATAGAACTTTCCATCGACTATTCACAGCGATGACTGAGCTAGAATTTCCATCCAACGCAATGAAAGCACGATCATATAAGCTAATTCATCACCATAAATTAAGCATAAAGTTCTTAATGCCAGGCATAATTAATGACGATAGCATGTGCAAAAACGCTTCCCACGGTAAGGTTTGCTCGGCTTAATTTGAATTGAATTATGAGCTTCTGAACTAGTTCGTACAACTCCGACCAAAAAAAAGAACTAGTTCGTACAAACCCAAAAGAATTGTACACTGCTTATCTATTCTCCTTTTTGGCTTAACTGCTGCTTAACTGGTTGTTAACTGCTGCTAATTGCTATAAGTATTAAGATTGTAATTCGATTAAAAGACCGTCAATCAATCAATGAACACCAGTTGTTAAATTTTATCTTCTTGCCATCTTTACATTACACTGCCCTTTACATGGCTGACAACGATTATTGCCTATAGTTTTCGTACTTTTAATTTTCTCGACAGTTTACATTTTCTATTCGAGAATCAACACAGGACCCCTTACATCCTATGTGGATTGGTTCATTGATCAATCTTTTGAAAGGTACTTTGTCGACTCCTTTCGGCAAAACAATTGATTATTGGTTTTCTTTTTTGGCTTAAATGTGACTTAACTACAATTTGATGCACCTTACCAAAAAACTACAATTTGATGCACCTTACCAAAAAAAAAACTACAATTTGATGCAAGTAAACGGTAGGGATTCCTAATTAGAATTTAGTCAACAAAATATCTTGTAGGGAATTATCCCTAATTCAAATCAATTAGAGACCTTTTCTTCCAATAAGAACGGCATCCGCTGGAGATTTATTTTTTCAAACCCCTTACTGCATATTGCGTGAGCCCTTCTCCTGTGTAAATAACGTTAGCAAACAATTATCGAGAAAAAGTAAGAATATTATACTAGCAAGTGTTGGCAAAGGAAGAAGGACAATAGAAGTGTTAAAAGTTGTGTACGGCGCTTATTTTAGTATCAATTTTTTTTTTCGAATTACGTAAGTGCTATTCTTTTAAAAAAACAATCACTTAAATGCCAATTTCGATCTGAATCGCCGGAAATCTGACGTGACTATATTTTATTAATTTCTCAGTTCTACGTGGCTCGCTGACGTCTCAGTCAACATATAACCCCTAAACGACATCGTCTAAAAGTTGTAAATAATAATCGTTTGAGTGCCAAATTTTGTTTGAAGCAATCACTTCAGTGCCGATCATTGTTAAAAAATAATCACTTCAATGCTAGTTGGATTGTGCGACGTCATTTTGGATGTCCACGTGGATTAGATTTTTTTAAAAAATATGCCAAGTCATATTAATAATTTTAATTTTAAATGCCACGTAATCAATTTGGCCGGAATTTGCACTTAAATTATCATATTTTTCTCCGATTTGGTACTTAAGTGATCCGAAAAAAACTTTTGACACTAAAGTGAGCGCTGTACACAACTTTTGATACTTCTAGTATTTTTCTCCCGTTGGCAAAAGTTATAAATATAATGGCACCCGTAAACATTGACAAAAGCAATGCATATTATTGGATTTATGAATTAGGGCAAAGCTTATGGATATAACCGCATTTGTAAAATGTTGGTAAAAGTTTATTAAACATAGCGGCATTTAACCGTGTATTACTATAGGGGTGTCAAATAGGTAAGTCGGGTCGGGTCGGGTCGGATTTGGATAGGGTTGAAAATGGTCCAACTCATATTTACCCATTTAACCCGTTTGGACCCATATTCATATAGTACAAATTTAGCGACCCAAACCCGACCCGACCCACACCCGATCCGATATTGCTAAAAGATTTTAATATTAAATCCAATTAAAAAAAACTTATTTCTTATAAATTTTTAAAAATATATGTTGCTAAAATACTGTGAATATTTTTTTTATAACTTCAATAAAAATCTGATTTTTTTTATTTTTGTTCTTTCTTCCTTTTCCTTTTTTTAGCCACGAATACAGTTCGTGGCAAATTAGCGACGAATTTGGCACTAATATTTAGCGACGCATTTTGCCACGAACTGTATTCGTGGTAAAAGTCGTCCCTAAATATTCGTGGCAAAAATTGTCGCTAATTATTCGTGGCAAAATTCGTGGCTAATTTGCCACGAATTTTTTTCGTGACAAAATTTATCGCTAATTTGCCAAGAACTTTTTTTTTTGTTAGCGACGAAGTCTATATTCGTAGCAAAATTCATCACTAATTTGCCAAGAAACTTTTTTTTTTGCGTCGTTAAATTGCGACGAAATCTATTCATGGCAAAATTCGTCGCTAATTTGCGAAAAATTATTTTTTTTTTAGTTAGTAAGTTTGCGACGAATATTGTTTAGGGACGATTTCGATTTTAAATCTAATTAGCAGCAAAATTAATTGCTAAAATATATATTTAACATTGCAGCTCCAAAGAGAATCTACAATAATGGAGTTTCAATATAAACAATCCCTCCCCTAATCTAAACTGACTTCAAATAATAGTGTAGTTGTGATTCCCATGGTACTGGTGGGTATCTTCACTGAAGCCCCTTTCGTACCCAGAGGGAGCAGCTGGTCTTGGTCTATTAACTGCATAATATCCTAGAAAGTTTCGATTGCGTGGTGGTTCCAAGATGCCAGAGGATTGATTGTTGTTCAACTTGATATTTAGTGTACTCTTAACAAGACGATGAGCTGCTTCTCCCAGCATTGGACCGACCATTGCTCCAGGTACTGATGGCCTGCAAGATTACAAGCACTGCATTTAGATGGGGAGAGAAAAGAAAGAAGCGTCTCTAAACAGAAACAACAGGGGAAAACGATCTCCAAAGATTCCACAAACACACTCAATAGCCTGCAGGAGTAACCAAAATTTTATTCCAAATGTCCCTGGTTTCAACTTCATTCTCAACTGCAAAATCTATTGCACCACAAGCCTCTAAATTGATACAAACCACCAATGCAGCAGCAGAAATACAAAACAAACCGACAGAGACATCAACCGAGACAGCAAGACCATCAGAGTTCATTCTCACCTTTCTCTTCCATTCTGGCGCCTACCACTGTTATCTTCATGCCATAACACAGGGAATGGCTTGGTATCCAAAGGTCCTAAAACCTATAAAAGTGAACAAGTGAGCCATCCATTTTCTTGTCATGACATCCAATATAAAGAGACCTAAACAGTAATTTGAAAAAGGTTCTCCTATATGAAATAATCCGCGCTTTTCAACCGTATTGATATTTCATAGAAATGTTGAAAGGGAAAAGGCCTCATGTAACATCAAACACAAAGCCCTACATAATGCACATAACGTTTTTCCAATTATATTGTATACATTGAGAACAAAATACAAATATTTGCTTTTAGATTAACATATATGAACCAGTAAGAGCATCATGTACCTTTGGAGGAATGACAACACCAGCAGGTGGTCTGGGGATGTGCTTGTGCTTTGCAGGATTGAGATAAGTAACATTACTGTAAAGCAACAGGGATTGTGAATGATTCAAGTTTGTCGCCCAAGAATTACAAAAGCAAATAAGAAACTTACTATACTTGATTGTTGACAATATCCTCCAATCCATGGATAGGCGAAGGAATTACATTGGTCAGTACATTCCTCTCACTTAGCCAGAGGAATCCGTTCATTCCACCGCTGTAAAAGATTCGCAAAAAATGAATGCAGCAGAATATAAAGTTACCTAATGGCAGCCTCGTCAAAATTCTCACACAAAATTCTATGCAAGAAAAAGGCATACTGTCCTAACATTTGTGTCAATTGGTACAGGATATCTTTCATATGGCCCTAATTGATAGCTTAATTGGTAGTACATATGAACTTGTAGTGACAAAGGATGAACCGGATGAACATAGAGCAAATCGAACATCACACCAATTCGAAGTTGCTCCTCCTTCTATATAAACCAGGTCAAACTGTGAGCATTCTCGAGCATCATGAGAAAGAAAATTGAATTACATAGGAGTTGCAGATAACAATGCCACCTAAGAAAATCATGAGCTGATGTTTGAAAAAAAGAAAGTCAAAAGGCAGAAACAGCATCGATGACTCTTGGGGTGCGCATGAATACCATTCTGTGCCCGGGAACTATTTCTGAACAGAAATGATTTTTTTTTATTCTGTGCCCGGAAACAATTTCTGAGTATTTGAAGGCGTTTGATAAACTGTCCAAAATTTCTATTCCTAGAGTAGAAAAGAACAGAAATGCGTTTGGTAACTACACAAAATTTCTGTTCCCAAATAATATTTTAATAATATTTTGAATTGTTAAATTTTTTTTTCTTTCCGCCATTTTCTTCTTTGGCCATGGCCGGTCGCCGCGACAGGCGGCGGCCGGCGACCGGCCACCGGGCGGAGGCGAGGGCGAGGGCTGGACCTCGCCGCGCTGGGCGAGGCCGACCTCGCCGTCGCGACCGACGGCGAGGCTCGGCCTCGCCCGATCTGGGCGAGGGCGCCTTGCCCTCGCCTCCGCCGGCGGCCGGCCCAGCCCAGGGAAGAACAACACAAAAATAAGAAAAGAAAAAAAAGAAAAAGAAGAAAAAAAACTGATTCTCAAAATTGTGCCGAGAAATAAGAAGCAACTTTTTTTTACTTCTTGTTTCTCTTCCAAAACTGTTTCTCGGCACAAATTTTTGAAAAAATGTGCCCGAGAACAAAAAGTTTACCAAATGCATTTCTGTTCCCAAACTATTTCTGGGAACAAAAGAACAGAAATTTTCACTGTTTGGCACGTTGCCAAACGGGCCCTTGGAGTTCAACAAGGTCAGCCTACAAAATTCCACCTCCATAGAACATGACACTCCTTGCCACAACCCTAAGCTAAGCTCAGAATTGATCAAGTAATGGTCTCCAAATAAGCAGGAAAATATCCTTGCCACAATATTAACAAACAGTGAAGCATGGAAGTGCTATTAAAAGGCTTTATCAAAACATTTTCATTCGACTACAAATGTTTAGTATCCCTGGACCAAAAACTCAGAATGCGCACTCATTAAAAAAACTCATTTATCCAATATGAGTCTTGCAAAAGAGCATCTTGATTAAATGTTAATACACAATAGAAAATGTCAACGTTAAAGAAAGATAGAAAGTAGCTATGACAGTCCAGTCAGGTGAAGGAAAATAAAATTCAAGATAAAAACTTTCTCACTGTTAAAGAGACTTCCAGTTTCCTCGTTTCAGTGAGCAATTTCTTCTCGTCGATGAACGGCAATTTGGCAACACCCTTATTCAAGAAAGATATACTTTCCATTATTCACACAAGATAGCCACAGCAAGAACAATGTCAGGACAAGTTAGACCCATACCTGCCATGCGGATTTCTTTCCATTCATGTCAATCTCGAAATCTGTCAACATAATAACAAGGAAAAGTTTTTGAGAGAGAGAGAGTTGCATTGATAAGCATCACCTGCTCCTGGTTAGTATACCTGAAGGATAAAAGTCAAGGATTGGTGAGGAAGGATCCGTCATCAATCTCCTGTACTGTTCTGGCAGAGCACTTGCGCTGCAACACCAGATATGAGCTGTCTAAGCAGAAAATCTGAACTACAAAAAGGACTCGCATAACGGTCCTCAATATTATCAAAAGCATAATAAAACAAAAAGAAACCTTGCAGATGGTAAGGTTCCCATGAGCTGATCAAATGGTTTAAAAGGCTCTCCAAAGAAGAATGTGATCTCCAGAACAGCTAAATCCTTGAGATCAGAAGCAAAGGGAGCATAATGGAATGGATAGTACCTGAACGAGCATGTATGCAACTTACAATAATTCATATATTAAAAAAAAAAAACTAATCAACAACTTGCATTTTTACTGGATGTGATATGAGTAATACTTCTTCAGTAGGACATTGCAACATGATGAGAAGATATGCAACAAATTATTTGAACACAATTGCAAGGGCCGTTCACCATAGCTCTCAAATGACCAGTGAAATTTGCCAAGGAATCGCTTCTCAAACAATTGGCAACAGATAAATCACATTATTGAATTCATTAATGAAGCACTAGCCACAACATCCAAACTCGAGGCAACCTTGTACCTTCTTAACTACACAACAGGGAAACTAGGGCAACTTCCAGTTTAGAGACTTGCTCATTTTTCAGAACTTTGCAGCCATAGTTGACTAACAAAACTCAGTGTGGCCAGATAGAATTCGTCGGTGCTCAATTCACAATGAGGTTCAAATTGGACAACAGAACTCGTCACTATCCTATACGCACTACAAATATGGCTTCAGCACCCCAGCACAAATCGGAGCTCTTCAATCTATACAAAAGCTTTACTACATAGATGCGGATGATGACAGAACCAACAATCTGTTCAAAAGCTTTATGATTGGCAAACACTATGCTTCAAGGCTAAAGGGTTTCAAAAGCTCGAGATATTAGGTCTTGATCATTTTGAGAAGCTGACATTTGTACAGATAGAGGAGGAAGCGATGTCTAAGCTGGAGAAATTGATCATCCAGCGATGCAAATAGTTGAAGACTATGCCATCAGGAATCAAGCACCTCACCAAGCTGAAATTGCTGGAGTTCTGTGAATATAAAAGAATTAACCGAGCAGCTTAAGCTAGAAGAGAAGGATGAAGATAATAAGAAAGTGGCACATGTTCCAGACTTGCTCATTTCCAGCTAAAGTAGCCCCAATTCGATGACACGACCGCCGCATCGAGCTCAAACAGCAAGAAACGAAGATCAAGGCCGACCGATGATCACCGAGGTCGAAGCCAATTGCGGACGGGTCACATATCCCAACCATCACGACCAACGCAACGCGGGAAAATGCGCAGACAGCAGGTACAAGCCAACTAACCTGAGCTGATGCTGGCTCGAAATTCGCCCCAGAATCGCGGTCCAGACCAAGGGGAAAGAAGAGGCAAGAAACGAGGACGAACTCCGAAAGGAGCAGCGGCCGGAGGAGGTCTTCCCAGGCGAAGGAAACCGGAGCAATTTCGGCTCCGCCGGCACCGGAAGCAAGCGAGGAATGGGGGAGGTGGAGCAGCGACCGGAGGAGGTCGTCCCGGGCGAAGGAAGTCGGAGCGATTTCGGCTCTGCCGGCACCGGAAGCGGGCGACGAAGGGAGGGTGGAGCAGTGGCCGAAGGAGGTCGTCTCGAGCGAAGGAAACCGGAGCGATTTCGGCTCCGCCGGCACCGGAAGCGGGCGAGGAATGGGGGAGGTGGAGCGAGGCCGGGAAAAGCCCTAGCCTAGATTTGAAAACGAAGGAGACGAAGGAGAGGGATTTGGAATTGAGGGATTTGGGGGAATTGTTTTGGGTCACAAGCTTTTCCCTCTAAGGAGACGAAGGAGAGGGAAAACGAAAAACGAAAAACAAAGAGACAGAGACAGAGAAGAGAGAGCCGTAATCATAAATGTAGCCCCAAATGCTTGGGACTTCATTTTCGTGGTAAAATTCGTGGCAAAGATATTTTTCGGGATTTTGGGGTATAACAACAATAATAAACACATATTGCAATAATAATAATAATTATACATATTTAGTAAAAAGTCTCAAAAATCATAATCTTCATCTTCACGTTCATCTTCACCACCTTCATCTTCACCTTCGTCTTCGTCTTCATGAGCATCATCTTCATCCTCAGTCTCAAAATCAGATTCTGTATCACTTTCTAAATTTGATTCGCGAATTTCAGTTCGATCTACATCTATCATTGCTCCACATGGATCTCGTAAAGTTGGAATGTTGTATTCCTCAGTTTCAACCGTATTACAAACTTCCTCTTGTTGATATGCTGTGTCCTTCCAGTGTTCCTCGATTTTTCTTCGTGCTTTGGTTTACATACAGCCCACCAATCAGCTTTGTCACGTTTCAAACTAGGATATGATACATAATATACTTGAATTGCTTGTTGTGCCAAGACGAATGATTCATATTTCATATACCTTTTCTTGTAATTTATTTCAACCAAATTAAACTTTGTATGCACTTTCATTCCTTTGACGGGGTCGAACCACATGCACTTAAATAACACAACCCGCATTAATGGTCTATGGTACTCTATCTCTATGATTTCATCCAACAAGCCATAAAAATCATCTTTTGAACTGCCACCATTGGATGACTGAACACATACACCACTATTCATTGTGGCTTTTCCCATTCCATATTCTCGAGTGTGAAAATTATACCCGTTTATGAAATATGCTGGCCAACTTCGTACTTTTGACTTTGGACCCCACAACAGATGATATAGCAATCCTTGCTCTCCAACTTGATCATGATTACTGTGAATATAATGTCACACACGCAAAGTCAATAATATATATTTTAATAAATGATGTATAAAATATTAATAACTTGGTTTTCGTCCATATGCAACTTACATATGTTTTGAACCATGCTGCAAATTGTTCATCGCACATACGGTCAAACTCATTTGGTGGTAGTCCATACATTAAAGTTTGGAAAATCCTATTAACAAATACCGTTTATATATTAGCAAATATTTGACACACAATACATATACTTGCAAATTTACACTTACTCGAAGTATGGCTCAACTTCTGGACAGTTTAGTAAAATATATGTATGGGCTGCCTGCCATTCTTCGCCTGTTAAGTAACGAAACTTACATGCGCCGCTTGGTCGACCCAGATAATTGAAAATAGAGAACGATTTGCAATTGGGATCAATGGGGCCCTCATCATTTCTTCCTGCTCTCCGTCTCTTGTACTGCACGTGCGACTCAAAATAGTATGATGCAAATGTTGTCACTTCTTCCATAATATATGCATTACAAATTGAAACTTCGACACATGCCTTATTTTTCACTTTTTTCTTCAAATGATATAAGAACCTAGTTGCAATAGAAAAAAGTTTATCGGAACATAATATATAATAAAGTAATTTCAAATTTATTTAAAAAAAAACTTACCTCTCAAATGGATACATCCATCGAAATTGGACAGGACCTGCAACTTTGGCCTCATAAGGCAAGTGAACTAAGAGATGCTCCATTAAATCAAAAAATGATGGAGGAAATATCCTATCTAAATTGCAAAGAATAATTGGAATATCTCTCTCTAATTTCTCCATGTGTGATGCTTTTAACGCTGTTGAACAAATATCATGCAGGAAATTACTTAACTCTGTAATGACGCCCCAAACAAAGTTTGGTAAAAGTTTCTTGAAGGCTATTGGAATTAGTCTTTCCATAAATATGTGACAATCATGACTCTTCAGACCTGTCAACTTGCATTCATTCAAATCAACGCATCTCCCGAGGTTCGAAGCATATCCATCAAGAAACCGCACAGATTTCAACCATTGACAAAGGACCCGTCTCTGCTCCTTGTCCAATGTATAAACTGCTTTCGGTTTTGGTCCCCTGCTGCTTGCATCCGCATCTAGTGTTGGCCGATCACAAATATCTCTCATATCTTTTCTTGTGTTCAAGTTGTCTTTTATTTTTCCATTAACATCCATCACAGTATTTATGACATTGTCGAAAATATTCTTCTCTATGTGCATGACATCAAGATTATGATGAATAAGATGGGCCTTCCAATGTGGTAGATCCCAAAATATACTACGTTTAGTCCACTTATGTGTACTTCCGTATGCAATAGTTGTGCCGTGAGGATTTTCAACAACAGTTGGAAAGTCCTGCACTCGCTCCCAAATTTCATGACCAGTCAACCTCAATGGTGGATGTGTTCTTTCAATCCGATTCTTGATGAAGTCTTTTTTATTCCTTCTGAATGTATGATTTATCGGCAAAAATTGTCTGTGACAGTCGAAATAGCTGGGCTTCTTACCATGTTTTAATCTGAATGATTTTGATCTCTCCATACGTATCGGACATCCTAAGATCCCAGCTGTACTCCATCCAGATAACATTCCATAAGCTGGAAAGTCATTTATCGTCCAAAGAAGAGCTACCTTCATTACAAATGTTTGATCAGTAGAAACATCATATGTAGGGACACCTTCATCCCATAGCTGTTGTAACTCTTCAATCAATGGTTGCATATAAACATCTATCAACTTTTTCGGATTTTGCAAACCAGTCACGATCAATGTCAAAAACATATAAGGTGTATTCATGCACATACCGGGTAGAAGATTGTATGGAGTTAAGATAACTGGCCAACATGAATAACTTTTTCCTGATTTTCCCAAATGGGGTAAATCCATCAGCACATGGACCTAACTTAATGTTTCGAGGCTCTATCGCAAACTCGGGGTAAGTTCTATCAAAATGTTTCCATGCCTCTGCATCTGAAAGATGACACATTAGACCCTCTTCTGTTTCATGATTTGCATGCCAAGTCATGTGTTCAGCAGTGGCTTGAGACGCATAAAACCTTTGCAATCTGGGGATTAAGGGCAGATAAAACATTTGCTTGCATGGTCTACGCTTCTGATTACGACCATGCCTCCTGTTAATTTTGTACCTAGGTTGACTATAGAATTTGCAAGATTCTGCATTTTCATCATCTCTCAAATATAACATACAACCCCTACTACATACATCAATCTTTACAACTGGAAGACCTAAGTTATCCACTAACTTTTTCATATCGTAAAAATCACTTGGCATGATGTTATCACAAGGCATTGTTTCCCGCATTACTTCAATGAAAGAGTTAAAGCAATCCATAGACACATTGTGCTCTGCCTTGATATTTAACAGTCTTGTTGTCACTGATACTTTAGTGTGGTTGTCACAACCTGCCCATAAAGGTTCATCTGCTGTTTTCAACACTTCCTAGAACTGATTAGATTGAAAAGTTCCATTACACACATTCTCATCAAAACTTGTAACTCCTATCTCTTCTAATTGTGATGCATGACTAGTACTCACTTGTTCAAGTGTAGGAGTAAAACTAGTACTTGTATGGTTCGATTCTGAAACAAAATTATGACCAGCTGCATCAATCACCATCCTCTCGTTTGGGTTCAATTGGTCATAATAGCTACATTCTTTCCTAACTATAAATTGGTCACTTTTTCGATATCCGTCATCAGATATAAATGGTTCACTATGGCAAGTCCAATTATAGTAGTTCCGAGAAAATCCAAATCTATAAAGATGTTCTCTAACTTTATCACACACATGAAATTTACCATTACTGCACTTTTTACACGGACACCTTAACTTATTTCCATCCATAAACTCATATTTACTACTAGCAAAGTCCAAAAATAGTTCCAACCCAGTACGAAACTCATCGGTCAATCCTCGACGTCCAGGTAAGTTCTTATTATACATCCAACCCCTGTCTCTTTGCATTGTGTCTGTATAAAAATAAAAAATTCTTGTAAAATTTTAAAAATATAATATCTACATTTTAATATTCTTAATTAAAACCATAAAATTCTACAAATAAAAATTTTATTTTTCACAAAATAATTACTTTGCAATTGAAAAAAATTATCATGTCAAGAACACTTACCCAAGTATTTGACCGAAATCTTTGTAGTAGAATGTGATCAATTTGATGAAAATTGCAACGTTCACTTGGATTGCGAGACTTTCAATTGGACACATACCTAAAAAAAAATTCACTTATGATTCATTTTTAAATAATTTTTCTATTTTTTTCGAGTTTTTTTTTTCTCTTTTTTTTTTCTTCTCTTACTGCTTCGTCGGTCGCCGGACCGGCGACCGGCGAGACATCGCCGGCCATGGGGCGAGGTCCAGCGGCCTGGCCATGGCTGCCGGTCGACCTCGCCGTTGCCCAGATGTGAGCGACGGCGAGGTCGACCGGCGGCCATGGCCAGGCCGCTCGCCTTCCCCCATATCTGGGTGACGCCGAGCGGCCTCGCCATGGCCACCGATCGACCTCGCCGTCGCCCACATCTGGGGGAGGCCGAGCGGCCTGGCCATGGTCGCCGGTCGACCTCGCCCCATGGCTGGCGATGTCTCGCCGGTCACTAGACCGGCGACCGGCGAATGAGTAAGGACGAAAAAAAAAATTCAATAAGATCAAAAAATACGAATCCAATGATGAATAGTTTTGCGACGAACCGTCCTCGTCGCCAATTAGTCATGAAATTAGCCACGACACTTACCGACGGAAAAGCTTTAATGAGACTGATTTGCGCGCGCGCGGATAGGTATATCGAGAGAAACGAAAGAGAGAGAGG